TTGTCTCTAAAGAGCCTTGGGATCCGGACAACAGGTTCTTGGCTCCCCAAGTGGAAAGGGGTCCTGAAGGGCCACCCATACCTTCCCTCCAAAATGTGTTTCATGTCACAGAATATCTAATCACAGAATTTTAAAACAAATGTTGGTGATAGAAAGACTCTAGATGGGGCTAGAGAGGTGGCTCAGCCATTAAAAGCATGACTGCTCTTCCAGAGGTCCCAGGTTCAAGGTCCAGCACTCTTAGTGCAGCTCACAACCACCTGCAACTCCAGTTTCAGAAGATCTGATGCCGTCTTGCCTCCATGGGCACCAGGCACAAAAATGGTTCACAGACATACATGCAAGCAAAACACCTGTACACATAAAATAAAATAAAATTTAAATTTAAAAAAAGAAAAAGGAAAAGTCAGGGTCTCCCAGGGATAAGACTCTTAATTTGTTGTCCAATACAAAATGGTCAGCCTTGAAACAATATGCACACCAACGACAAACAGACTCGGCAGATTGTATTTATGTATTTGCGTACACATGCATAAGCACACACATATAATGTTACATATACATGTAACAATAATGATTGGAGAAGAAGAGGACATCAACTGGAGAATGGGGGGAACAGGGAGGAGTAGGGAGGAGGGAACTTGGTAGGAGGTGAAGGGAGGAGAGGAAAGGGTGGAAGTCATATAATTATATTTTAACTAAAACATAAAAATAAAACATAAAAATTAGAAAAGAAAGATTCCAGGGGACCCTGAGAGCTGAGGAGACAACACCAGGAACAGATCTGGCTTCTCCACTGGTTCCCACTCAGCCTGCAGGTCTTCCCCACTTGTCCTTGAACAAGCCTCGCATAGACGCAGTTCCCTGGCTGAAAATGAGGGATTGGGTGCTGACTCGGGAGGTCCTCTCAGCCAGCTGCCTGGCCCCAGCGGCTAATGTGTGACCTTGAACATGCCACAGAACCTCCTCACGCTGAGATCCCACCAACCACAGGTGAGGAAGTCCTGCCCTCCGGGCGCCTTGCTCACCTCACAGCTTCCGTGGGTGTGGGGTGAGGCAGGGCTGGAGGTGGGGTATCACGTGATATCAAAGGAACATTCGCTGAGGCAGAAGGCCATCAGCTAAGCCCTGGGGGCCAGTCACCAGGCTTGATGGCTTGGCTTTGCCTCATTTAACATCTCCTTGAGACCAAAATGGGACAATACACCATAAAAAAAACAAGGAGACAAAATAATTCTCAAATATAAAAACTTGGAGTTAGAACAGGTCAAGTATTTATATGCGATGATTTATGATGAATGACAGAAAACCACCCATTTGTTCTAAACTTTAACCACTGAGCAACTCTGATGCCCTGGTTAGGTAAGGATGTGTCCCAGGCTCCCCTACGAAGGAGAAGGGGATACTGGAAGTCATTTGTGTGTGCTCAAAGCCAGGCTGCTTATCTGACCCCATCTCCTAGCAATTACCTGTTGATGTGTCTGCCCTGCTTCTGCCAGCTGTGGCCCAGGAGCATCTTGAGGCTATCAGCTGGACTTTCTCCATCTTCATAGCACACCCAGGATCCCAGCAGAGCATGTGTGTCCACAGCGCGGCTTCCTAACTGACTGTTGAATGTTGAAAGTAGATATGAAAGACCACTTAATTTTTTTGTTTTGTTTCGTTTTGGTTTGGTTTTGATTTTTTGAGATAAGATTTCTCTGTGTAGCTCTGACCAGCCTGGCCTCTGTAGACCAGCCTGGCCTCGAACTTAGAGATCCCCCTGCCTCTGCCTCCTGAGTGCTGGGATTAAAGGCTTGCACCACCACCAATCAGCTAGGACCACTTAATTTTTAACAGATGGAGAGACTGTATTCCACAGTGACAGGGGGATGTGGTAGCAGCAGTTCTGTGAGCTGGCAAAGGTTCTCCTTCTACAGGAGTAGACAACTTGACTTCTTTTATTTACCCACAAAAGCCACAGGTAAAAGTGTTTATGGCTTGGCAGCTAACCAAGGCCACAGGCACTTCAACAGGTCACAATCTGACCCGGCAACCCATTCGTTTTCAAATAGTGTTAACGGCTATGTTTTCTACCATAATTTGAAAACACCTCCATGACTAGAACATTCCAAACTGACCCCTAAACTTAAACGCAGAACACAGACCCATTTAACTAGTCACCTGCATGATAATTACTTCCAAAGACCATAATATTCAAATATTTGTGAAAAGCATGTTCACTTCATTAGCACCTTCATGGATGCTAAGTTAATTCGGACTTGAGCAAATGGTCCTGAAACAAAATGATGTTCTCTCAAAGTAAGTTGGTGACTGTGCACATGAAACAAGCGAGTTATGATTTGTGAGCTGCATTCTGGGAAAGGAGATTTAAGTATAAGATGGAAGCTATCGCCGGTGGCTTTTATTTTCTTTCTTGCACATTTCTACATTTTCCTTAACCTAATTAAAAAAAGGGGTGGGGGATGCTGAGAGAAGAGGAGGCACTGCTGAGGAATTGAGCTTGTCCTATATGATGTGAGTGTGAGTGTGAGTGTGAGTGTGTGTGTGTGGTGTAGAAATTGCTCAGCGGCTCTAGCCCTTCATCCTCTCCCTGGTATCTGCTAAGCTTGGCTCACCAAGTTGTGACAAGTCACTAATGCCAAGCATGGAGGAACTGTGGCCTGTAATGCCCCTGCACACTTAACAAGTGGCACCGCATCCCAAACCTCCACATCTGTAACCTTCTCAGGCCTCCTGTGCCCATCTGTATAATGAACAGAGGTCCCAAACGTGGAGTGTAACTCTTCCCTAGGAGACTTGAACACCTATTCGCCCCAAATGGACAGACCAAGGAATCGACTCCCTTCTAGCCTAGGCTGTGAACCGATGAGTTCACGGCAGCTAACTGTAGCAGTGTGGCTGACTCCAGGCAGCTGACCACCAAAAAGCCCGCCCCATTATGAGTGACAGCTCACTAAGTCCATACCCTTGGGTCCCCCACCTTGCAGGGTGCTTCCTGAAGTCTTCTCTCTCCAGAAAGCATTTACTACATTAGGGTGGGTACATACATGTGTGTACATGCCTGAGGTCAAAGTCAAGTGTCCTTCCTCTATCCTTTTGGGGTCTTGTGTGCCTCCTATCTTTACAGTGACCAGATTCCTTCTAACTCTTCCCTGAGAGACAGGAATATTTATTCTTTGAGACAGGTTCTCTCACCAAACGTGGAGCTCACTAGACTGGGTGGCCAGGGAGCCCCTTGTCAGGGGGTACCATGTAGCATGGGTTGGTTGAAGAAAGAAGGCACTCTCAAGATGAAATGGTAAGGCCTGTGGCAGCAGGAAGGTCCAGCCTCTTTGACAGACTGGACTGGACCCCCGAACAGCTGAACAAACGCATATTTATTGATTGTTATACAAAGTATTTCCCCAGCCGGGCAGTGGTGGCACATGCCTTTAGGCCCAGCACTCGGGAGGCAGAGCCAAGCGGATCTCTGTGAGTTCGAGGCCAGCCTGGTCTACAGAGCGAGATCCAGGGCAGGCACCAAAACTACACAGAGGAATTCTGTCTGGGGAAAAAAACAAAAACAAAACAAAAAATAATAACAAAACAAACAAACAAAAAGTATTTCCTCGTACCAAGGTCCCTAATTTTAATTTACATGTCTTACTGAGGTCACCTCTATGACTCTAGTCCTTTATTATGTATTGTGTGCAAAACATAACAATACAAGAGCCTCAGGTGTGCCTGAGGCATCTTGTGACCAAAGTCATGGGATGGCTACAATGCCCCTTCAGCAAAACAATTCTGCAGATCACGGGAAACAATCACTGTTTTCCACAAGGATTCTTCAAGGTCAAGGTACTTCTGAAGAGCGAGCAGCTGTTCATTCTAATATCTACCCCATACAGTGATTCTGTAAATTCCTTCAGCAAGACCTCAGTATCTGCCTGTACCCACTCTGAGTCCCGGGGTTCTGGAAGCACACTGCCGTGCCCAGCTTTATTGTGAGTTCTGGGCATTGGAAGCCTTGTCCCCATGCCTGTTCAGCAAACACTTAACCCACTTAACCCAGGCCCTCGTTTACTACTCTGGGGGGAGGGGGTGAATCTTCTAATATTCACGAACTTCCTGGGCCCTGTAGGTCCCTCTTCCCTCCAAGAGGAAACAGCACAGGAACAGGAGGAGAGCCGCAGGCTAGGAAGGAGAAAAATAGACAGAGAGGACTATGGCCCAGCCACACAGCTTCATCAAATCCTCAGACTTTCCCATATGTGGTCTTTGCTAAGAAAGAAATCTTACAGATCTGATTAAACCTCTCTCTGCTTCTTTCTAACCCAGGCCAGTCTCCCCTGCCCCAAGTCAGGTATCTTTCATTGCCCATGCATGGTTAATACCTCTACTACACTACCTGACTATCGCTAAAACCATGCACAGCGCAGCCTCTAACGTTTAAACGAACAAACGGACACTTCCTATCACATGCTGCATAGCTAACCCCATGCCCATTTATCCCTAGTATGTATTTGTGTCAGGGTCCATTGTCTTAGTTTAGTTTCTCTCAGGACATAATTCTACTTTTTGTTTGTTTGCTAGTTTGCTATTACAAGCTGAATGTCATTAAAGTGAAGGAACCAGCATCTTCAATTCCACTTGCTACTACCCCATCCGCTCTCCCAAGTCTCAGCAATTGACATCCCCATCAGCAGAACCTGAGAAGCCCCTGCTGCATCCTAACTGCCCCCACTTGCTGAAACAGGCAGACGTTAACTCTTTGCTGCACTGGGGATGTGTGATGATGCGGCACATCCTTCTCATTTGCATCTCTCACATGGCCGATGAAGGGGAACATCTCTTTGTATTTTTGGCTGTCTTGGGTTTCCTCTTTGGGGAATGATCTGTTAATAGCTTTTGCCTGGTTTTAAATTTTAAATCAGTTTTATTGAAGGCGTTTCAACATCAACAACCCTTTAAAAAGCAAGCAAACAAAAAACAGAATTGCAAAACAGCAGTCTTAGGGGGAAAACATGGAGTGATCATGAATCTGTATGTCATCCTTGCACAAGGGCCAACTAAGCTTCTCTGTATAATTCCAATTTCAGGATATATGTTACCTAAGCAAGCACTGATCATTTATTGATTGCTTGATTGATTTTTTTGTTTTTGTTTTTGTTTTTGTTTTTGAGACAGGGTCTCTCTCTCTGTAGACCAGGCTGGGCTCAAACTCACAGAGATCCATCTGCCTCTGCCTCCTGAGTGTGGGAATTAAAGGCTTGCGCCACTGTGCCCAGCTCACTGCTCATTTTTTAACCTGGATTTTTACTTTTTAATTTGTGCCAGTCCATTCGATTCTGCTCTCCTGAAATATGTGCCTTCCTATCCCGCATCCTATCCGAATGCCAGTTTCTCCATGGAACTCAGCGTCTAAACCACAATGAATCACATGCACCCTTCCTGTGGCATTACAGTGTCCTGCCTTGTAGTATTTCAGCACCTTCTCATTTCACATTCCACAGGATGTTGAAGTTACCAAAGCACCTGCTCCTTCCTGTATTGTCCTTTATCTAGGCAATGGCCCTGTGCGGCAGGGTAGTATTGCCACCACCTTTGAATAGATAAGGATGCGGTATATAAAACTTGGGACAGCTCACCCACAATCCCTCTGCTCAGAGGCTGGGCTGGCCTCCGAGCAAGAATTCTCCAATTCCACACCCGGATCTTTTTTTTTTTTTTTTTTTAACATAAATATGTTGCCCCAAGACTGACTCCCTCACCAGACTGCAGGCCCTGTTTCTCTTAATCACCTGTGTGCCCTATGCAAAGGAACAGCGGTGATTACAGATCTTGACAAAGCACACTGTTCACCTTCTTCTGCACACCATGCCCACGGGGTGACAGGGGCTTTGCATACAGTGCCCCCAACCTTCCTCAACAACTGAGGTGACATGCTCAGGGTCTCACATCCAGGGATAGGTGGAGCCAGCCTGTGAGCGGGAGAGACATGCTTCCTCTGCTCTCCCTGCCCCTCCAATTCTAAAGGTGCCACAGGCCAGCCTAGAGGCTCTTATCCTGGACAGGATAAGAGATCTTATCTCTGCTGAAGGTGACTAGATGTCTGGTCCTGTGGGTGCCTTTCCATTGGCCTCCCTAGACTGGAAGATCCTGTCTGATGGGGCTGCTACCAACTTCCTTTCTAGGCTCAGCAAAAGGAGACAGATGCTCAAGACAACTAGGTTCTGCTGTGGGTCAAAGACCCAGAATGAGGGCGGTAAGCCCGGAGGAGCAGGAAGACCCAGGGGTGGGGGGAATGAGGAAAGGTGGAAGAGGACTCCTGTATCTCAAGCTGGGGGACGGGGTAGAAGGCAGACAGGAGCTGTAGGGGGCACTGCCAACGTCCCAAGGAGCAGAGGGCCAGTGTGGGACGCTGGACCATGGGCAGGGAAGGCACCAGCAATGACTCACTCCGCAGGGGTGTCTGCAGGCGCCACGCTAGAGCAGGTGCAATAGGCAGGCACTCCAGACTGAGCAGGAGTGTGGGTAAAGGGTGTTAGCCAGCACTCTCCAGCCCTGGCGCCGAGAGTCTGGATGGGGACTGTCTTCTCCCGGAGGGAGAGTGGAGCCATAGCTACAAGATCTGTCCTAAGTCAGCCGTTTACTTCAGAGCTGTTTGTGCACGTGGTGTATGTGACTGTCTCTTTTGCAGTGTGCCTCTGCAGTGCGTGGGTGGCATGCTCGCGTCGGTCTTGTGGTTACTGTGTCGGGACTCTATGATTGCTGACTTGTGTGCCTTACACGTGGGTTCCGCGGGAGCCTATGCTGAGGGAACAGTGTCATTTCGAGTGTTGTGACTTGTATATGTGTCCTGTGTCTGGTTCTCTTAGGCGTGCCCTGGTCTCGCGGAGGTGGAGTGGGATGCCGATGCTCTAAGATCAAGGTGCTGGGCAACCCACCCGGGTCATCCAGGGTCTGGGTGTAGCTGTGTGCGTGTGATGTGCGCACGCCTGCTCGGCCGTGGGTCTGTGCAGCTGCGTTTCCGCGTGTGCCCGCTCGGCTCGCTGCGCGGGGGCGGCCCCCGGGAGGCGCTG